GAGGAAGAAATAGCTATTACTATAATTAATGTCAAGATGTTAACTAATTGTCATCTTAGTAACACTCCCCAACATGGATATAGAAATAGTATTTAAAGGAAGAATTAATATTCAAGGAAGAAGATTAAACAAAATAACTCACAACTTACAAATTCATTAAGCTTCAAAGTAGCAAAACCAAGATGGAAAGACTACCTAAATTACAAGAATAAAGTGTATGTGAAAGAGGGGATTCAATTCGTCTCTAAAATAGGAAGGAAAGGGGTGTTTTTATAGGAGAAGTGAGGTGGTTGGGTCTAAGACATAATCTGATTTTCCCATGTTCACTTGCTTTATTTGATCTCTTATTATCTCCGGGTCAAATCATATCCGATTTTTCACATTTCTTTGTTCTCCGTGAAGCTTCCTCTTGTCTCCAATGCTCCTTCCTTATGCTCTCAAACTCCTTCCTCTTCTTTTCATCATGTTTTTGCTTACATGTCAAAATATCTTAATATCTTCTAATTCTACTTTAATTTTAGAAGATAAAGATTACACCGTAATTGTACAAAAGCTAAGTAAACATAATGTAAAACCATTCTAAAATGTGGTGTTTATGCACTACTAAATAGTACACATCAGGAATACATTTATGGCTTCTTCTGCCTTTCGGTCTTTAGAGATGCCCGGTGCTTAGTGAGACATCTGCAGATGGCTCTGGTCTTCTTAGGACGTAGATCGAGGGGAAATACTTCTGGTTCTTGTAAGCTGTCCTTAGTGACACATTATATGTCTGGAAAATCATAGTCAACACTTGAGCAATTGACATCCTCACCACCTTAGTCTTGGAGAGCTTATTGGGGGGGGGGGGGGGGGGGGTGCTGACCTTGGCAACTCAGAGTGAAGCGAACTCCGTCTTCAGATCCTTAAGTTGAGCCTAAAGTTCAAACCTTTACACGCGCGTTGCGCGATTGTGTAAATGATCCAAAGAACATATAATCTGCACAAATGAATGTATACAACAAATTGTTATGATTCTGCATTTTAAATTCATCCATCTCTCATCAAATTGTTATCCTCAAGGGTATCAAAATGTTTGCTTGAACTGGAATTGAAATAGCAGAAAATCTACAAAAGTAATACAAATCCCTATTATAGAAACATACTAAAGTAGTCATACATAAATTGCTTAAAGTCATGCTTTGAGTACGTTCAGCTCTCATTTTTACAAATGAAAGAATTGACACTACCCTTGTCCCTAGGGACTAAAACGACAAGATGGAAACCAATGGTTACACTCAACATTCATTTTTACAAAAATTAATATCGACAGATTAAAAAGGTTGACTACAAGTTTGAATATTGACTAAGTTTTTACAAATCCCATTCCAATATCGATTTCTGACTAAGTTTATCAAAACTAAATGCAAATTGGATATTAACTTTCATTCCATTTTCCCTTGTTGATAAGAGTTTTACCATACCTTATATGATTTTTACTATTTTAGCTAGTGGTTATGTCCGCACCATCTAGACTAACAATTTGAAGAGTGAACATTATCAAAGCAAGTCGATACATAGGGAAATAGTTTATTTTTGGAACGGAGAGTGTTATGTTCTTTGTGTGTTAAAGAAATTGACGAACACATGATGTAATCATATAGTATAATCTTTGGCTTAAGTTCACCTTGATATGACTTCAACAAAGAAACCAGGGATAAGGGGAAAAGGACTTTACTCGGGATTGAGCAATGTACAAAATGTACTCTACACACCAAATGTAATACTCCATATCATCTTTAAGCACCTCTCACATGTATGTCAGATAGTGAAATCATTGACGCTAAAATATGAAGTAGCCAAGATGATACTACCTCCGTCCCATTTTGGTTGTCCACTTTCAATTTGGCACGATTATTAATAAAGTGATTGAAAAGTAAAAGTTGTGGTAGAGATTTGAATAGAATAAAGTGAAATGATAAGAACCACATATTTCTTGCCAAAACAGGAAACAAGACATTCATTTTGGGACAACCCAAAAAAGAAAGTAGGACAACCAAAATAGGACGGAGGGAGTAAAATTTAACAGATCCTACCTAATCTGTGCATGTTATAATCGTTCTAGCTACATTCTAAATGTTAAATAAAAGAATGTTCATCGTTTGACCATATAAAAACCCAGTTATCCAGTCAAACCTAACTTGGCACAATGGAACCCAAAAGAAATACTTTCAAAACCTTTTGTAAGTTTTGAGCAAATGTTTGGTTTGTATTTATATAAACACAAGCAGAGTGAACATTTTTTCCAAACTTATGAGCTGATAATGAAGCAGACAGAGAAATATTCCTAGATTAGATCACATAACAAATAAAACTATCATTGCAAAGTAGGTTGCCCAACTGGAAAAGTTGGGAAAATAAATGCATGTTAACATAATAAATAAAAGGAATTAATCAACTGTTTTTTTAAGTAAAATAAAATAGTGTAAGCTAAAGAAAGCGACAGCAGACCAGAAGGTCCTTGTATTTTTTTAACATAATAATATGGACTACTTAAAAAGAATAAACTAATATATAAATATAAATACAAGGACCTTATGGCGTAAACCATAAGAAGGCCAGAAGCACCGATCTTAACTATTGCAAGTGGAATCAAAATATGTTGTTCAGTCAACAATTAATTTTTCAACTTAAAATGCAAGAAATGTCTTTTTTATCATTAAGAGCATGTCTCTGCCTTGTTTGATGAACTCATCAGACTTGATTAAACAAGTGTACTTAAGTCTTACGCTAATCCGTATAATCTAGGGAAGGGGGGCTGGGGGGAGCCTGGAGTAATCAGGGCTGAAACTCACTACATTGAGTTTCCAACCCTTGTGTGCCTAGCGGGATTCGAACTCGAGTCCTCCCACTAGACACGGTAACCTCACAACCAGCTGAGCTGGAATGCTTGATTACCTTACCCTATACACACACACACACACACACACACACACACACACACACACACACACACACACACAAACAAACAAACAAACAACACACATATAGGGTTGTTCAAGTCAGGCGGCCTGACCGGACAGCCCCGTGCGGCCTTCCCCGTTTGGGGGCCTTCCTGGTGGAATTTTTTTATGAAAGTTTTTCAGCATATTCCTCATCATGTCTAGTTTATCCATACCAAATTTTAGCTCCAAATTCGATCGGGGAGATAGTCAAATAAATTCTTGAAACATACTGGGCATTCTGCGCATATATAAAGTGCAGTATGTTTCAAGAATTTATTTGACTGCCTTTCCGGTTGAATTTTGAGCTAAAAATTGATATGGATAAACTAGACTTGATGAGGAACATGCTCAAAAAATTCCACCGGGAAGGCCTCCAAAAGGGGAAGGCCGCACGGGCCTTCCGGTCAGGCCGGCCTGACTCGAACGGGACTCTCTCTCTCTCTCTCTATATATATATATATATATATATATATATAGAGAGAGAGAGAGAGAGAGAGAGAGAGTCCCGTTCGAGTCACAACATATATATATATATATATATATATATATATATATATATATATATAGAGAGAGAGAGAGAGAGAGAGAGAGAGAGAGAGAGAGAGAGAGAGAAAGAGGGAGGGTTCTAATGTGAACCTCTCCTAAAATGAAAAACTCCTTGTAATGAGAACTTTTAATCACAACATTTTATTTATTGGAATCATTGGTTATGATTCACATGAGGTCATATTCATAAGAGAAAATTGCTATGCATAAGACCAAAACATACTATCTTTACAAAAGGACGACTCAACTATATATGTTTTCTCCATCTGTAAGATTTATACAGTTTTACTTTAGGAAACATTATTGTTGCTTTCCATTTTTACCCTTCATTGTACGTAGTACTCCAAATTAAAAATAAAAAACAACTTCCACAACTCATCCAAATCTCTCCTCCCATCGCACGCCCTGCAAGTATACTACGTTGATTTTAGCATTGATATTAGCGCCTCTCAGCAGCGACTCCGGAGTTGGGATCCATTGGTTTACCTATCCCCCGACCCTTTCAAGAACTTTCAAACCCTTTGCTGCGACCACCATCCCGGCCACGAAACCATAGTACGTCTCCGACATCATGGCTTTCGTATAGGATGTTTGATTACCTATGTTACTTCATTGCGGAGTTTTCGACAACCTCTTGATGTAATTTTATCATTAGACATAAGGAATTGTGTGTGTGTGTGTGTATATTGTCTTAAGTTACCTGCTATGTTATTGAGTTATTATTAGAACTTATTGTCTGTTTATTGACTACTTATTGTCTATGTATTGTCTGCTATTGAGCTATTATTAGAACTTATTGTCTGTTTACTGGCTACTTACTGTCTATGTATTGTCTAGTGTTTGCAAGTTTGATTTTGGATCTGGTTTCTTCAAAAGTTTTGCAGAGTACCCAGTGGCCTTGTGCGTTAATGCATCTTCAGATTCTCTTACTCCCAGATTTCTTTTTCCGTTTAATTAATCTTTCTGCAATTTTTTATGTTGAGAAGGTGAGGCCTTGCTAATCTGTAGATGTGGAGATGTGGTCTACTACGGAATGGAGATGTGGTCTGCTACGGAATTTAAAAGCAAGGACAATTTGGTGAGGTCCTACTTGTTGAAAATCTCCCTATTCATAATTACCACCAAATTCAAATGGGTCATATTGCAATTACAGCTAAATATTTACAAAAATGACACCTTGTCATTATTAGCCATTGATGATAAATATTAATGATGCAAATTAGACAAAAATTCTTATTTTAAAATGAATTCTCATTTTAAGAAGAGTTCTCATAAGAACCCTAATGACAATCAAGTCTTATTATCAAAAAATTTGGGATGGCTAATAATTTAAATATAAACCAAATGAATAAAAAATATTAAAATAAATAATAAATAATACTTTCATAATAACAGGATGGAACAAAAAGCAACATCTATAACATGGTGTAACATGGCATAATAAATAATATGATAAAAAAAAGCAAATATGTGAGAAGCAACACAAATAAGACCTAAAATTATAATACCTAAATTTATAAGACCAACATCTGTAACCTTTAACCTTCATTTTCATCAAGTGGATCTGGACAGTGGGTACACAATTGTTAAATTACAAATCCAGAACAGCATATTCTGGCATTCGGCAAATCGCCAAATCGGAAGTACTCCCCGCAGTTTTTCCAGAAAGAGTGTAATAATTCCAGAAAGCACAGTAATAAACAAAAGCAAAATCAAAAGGAGAAAAATCCATCCCTCCTCAGCCACACAAAATGAGGTTCGTAAGGGAAAGAACAACACAGGAAACTGTGAGGAAGAACAGAGTAATCAAATCTCTGCCGGACCATTTCCTCACGGCCGCCTTACCTTCCATTCTCATACTCTTCGCTCTTCTCAGCGCATCCACCTCCTTCAACAAATCGAATTCCGTCCCTTTCTTCTTCAGCTCCTCCACGCACTTCCGTAACAGCTTCCCGTCCTCTTTCTCCCGCTCCAGAAGCTTCTCCAGATGCGCCTCGGTGTCGGTCTTGTACCGTACCGCCCAGATCAGCCCCATGGAGCAGAGAAGGGAGCAGAGAGACGGGATCCACGATCTGCGGCAGCAGATCCCGGCCTCCTTCGGCCGGGATCGGGCGACGGAGCTGAAGAGGATCGTTAGGCAGAGGGAGTGGAAGAGGAAGAAGAGACAGCAGATCTGCGTGATCTCCTTTCTGACGGAGTCGATTTGAGTCTCCTTCGCGACGATTCTGTTGAAGATCAGATCTTCTTCCTTGAGCCATTGCTTGAGGAGGAGCTTGTGGGTTGGGAGCTCGGAGATTTGGTGCAGTGGGTGAACGTTCTTCGCCTCCATGATTGAGGACGACTGTGTTGAGCTCTCAGCATCCATCTCTGTTCAATTTTTCAACTGCTCTCTGCAAAAAAATTGATGATCCACTTCATCAACTACCTATACACTCTCGGATTGTCATCCGCAGGAATTGACGATCAGATCAGAAGAAAGATGGGATGATCGTTTGTGTAGGAAGACGGGTGAAAGAACAGAGAGATTTTGCTGAGTTTCTGATTTGATGATTGAAATTTGAAAATTCCTGATTTGTAAAATGGGTCATTGGTCCCGTATTTTATCAACTGAGTTATGGAAAGGTCTCAGATTTTTGGGTAACGGTCGAAATTTGTGTTGCCTGTTTGAACGGCAGCGAAATACCAACGGTTATATTCATTTTAATATACTCCGTAAATCCATATATCTATATACTGAGTATTATCATAAGTTTTTTAAAATCCATATATCTATATACTGAGTATTATCATACGTTTTTTAAAAGTTGAAATAGTTTGACTTTCACGTTTACTATTGCACAACTTTGATTGTTAATATATTTAAATATGTATTAGTAAAGATTAAAAAATGTTGATATTTTGAAAATTTACATTAATAGAACTTTAATACGGAGTAACATATTATACTCCTTCCGTCCCTTTTTATTTATTCAATCACTATTTTCCAAGTCAATGATGCTTAACTTTGAACGCTTATATATTTATACACGATAATATTGATAATATGAAAATGTTCCTTGTTAAAAGTACTATCATAAAAGCATAAATATATTAAGTCACACACACACACACACACATATATATATATGAAGTGTTAGTTAAAATAATGGATCAATGTTTATCATCTTTGATTGGAAAAGTCAAAGTTGGCTAAATAAAAAGGGACGGAGGTAGTACATATTAGTTTGATCAGTTGATTGTATATACTATTGGAAAATTGTAGTAAAAATAAGATGTGTGAATAGCACAAAAAATTCCAATGTTGCAATTTTTAAAGAACGGGATGAAGTATATCTTATCTTATACTCCGTACTAATCTAAAAAGGAAAACCAAACATAAACTGTCTGCTGTCTAACAATTGCAACCATTCAACAATGCGGGCCATGGGCCTCCATAACAAAATATTAAGTGCAGACATGGGCGGCCCTAGGGGGAATGCAAGGGGGGGCAGCGCCCTAGGCCAAAAAAATATACGTAAAAAATAGGCTCAAGTTTAATTCTTTGTAACATGTGTAAGTATGCTAAATTTTTGGCTCTAAACTAACAATTTTTCGAGTGGAATTTGTTAAAGTTCTTTTGAATGGGTTTTTAGTGAAACTTATGATCATGTTCTCTATAAAGTTTAGAGTATGTAAGAAACAAATCAGTTTAAAGTTTAATTTAGAAGTCAACTAAATAAATTATTGAAAACACTGCATTTGTATACATATTTTGGCGCATTGTGTTTCAATAATTTATTTAACTGACTTCACAATTGCATGTTAAACTAAAATTTTATGGACATAATCTACACTTGATGAAAAACTCTCTTAAAATTTCATTAAGAAATTCCACTCGAAAGAAGATAGTCTCATATGATTATTTGATTAATTTATTAAATGATTCCATTCATGATAGTTTGATTTCTTAATTGTTGATTGTTTTCTATTGAGTGTTGGTGTTATAACTTGTTGATTTTGTTAGACAAACATTTTCAATTATGATAAAATTTATTAACTTAATTAATTTCAAAGTGTAATAACAAAGCATCTGAATACGATAAATACAAAAGAATAGAAGATTAGAGAAAACGGCGATAAGTAAAAAAGATCAATGGAAATGGTTGTTTGTGTAAAGAAGTCAAATTTTGAATGTCCTTCTAAAGATGAGAACGCATAGAAGAACAATAGTTGAAAATGAATAATTCAGAATGATTACATCATTGGAGGGGAGATTTAGGAGGTCAGGATAATAGAGTTAATTCCTTAAATATACGAGTTAAACATTAGTAAAGTGTACAAATATGATCATCATTGTTTTCTTCGTAAACAAAGATCACCAATATTATAATATGATTGGTTTAGACAGAATAGGGTTTTATAATTTTTATTAATGTCTTGAAATATTATTAGTATACTTATTATGCATGTCATTTTAGATAGTAAAGAGTTTTACAATTTTTTTGTAACATTAGGCCCATTTTAATTTTCCGCCCCTAGGCTTTCGAACATACAGGGCCCCCCTGAGTGCAGATTACATGAGTTTCATCAGTTGCATTTACGGCAATTTTTACAAAGACGTATCTGCATAGAGAAATTTGCTCCCGGTAGGATCAAATCATAGCTCTTTTTCAAAAAGGGAACTGCCTAATGTTTTTCCTATTCGTATCACCTACTTAGTTCTATATGGGGAAACTTAATTATAACTTTCCAAATTTGTCCTTCAAAGTTAAAATAATGTACGCCACTACGACCTCATTCAATGGTTCCCTTCTTCCGCAGCATCACCTGCATGTTAGCTCTATTCTTCCGCACTGTTCCTCAGGTGTAATTGAATTCAACAAATTGACGACGGATCTCTACCAGCATAATCTCTACAAATTTCCGGCGAATTCCACATATAGAATCACAATTGTTCTCCTCTTGACGTTGATCTTCAAAATTATGTAAGTATTATTCGAACAAAGCATCCAAGCTTTTACAATTTCAATTGAATATTTAATATGAACGAAAATTGTTTATAGTTATATATGTTGTTCTTAGTTTTGTTATTGTCTTCTTCAAATTTTCAATATGATTCTATTCTCTCTATTTTTAATCACGTAGTTGCTTGTTTTGAGTTTGGCATTTGACTTTTGTATTTCTTCATTTTCTTTGTTCAATTAGTCTGCATATTCTATTTTATTAAATAACTATAAATTCTACATCTATAAGCTCATTGTTACTTAGTTGATACACTATATTATCAATGTACTTATTATGTTGTTATGTGTTTGCCAGATATGCGTTGCTTTTTGAGTAGTTCATTAAAATTCGTTTGTGTTTTGCTTTTTAACTGCACTTATTCAGTTAGTTTTTTCATTTATAATAGACAAATTTATTATTATGCAATTTCCTTCTTTCTCCTCCTCCTTTCTTCTTCTGCAATTTCCCAGGCATCTCTTCTTCTGCAATTTCCAAGGTAATTTCCTTCTCATTTTTCTTCTTCTTCATCTTCTTCTTCCTTCTTTCTCCTCCTCCTTCTCCTCCTCATCTTCTTTCTCTTGTTCTTCTTCCGGGGTCTCTTTTTTCTAGTTTTTTATTTTCTTCTAATTTGTGAACTTCTAAGATTCTAGATTAATCTGTTAATTTTGATTATTTTAAAAAATGCCACTTTATAATATGAGAATGTCAAAATTATTGATTATTTGAAAAAACTGTCACGTTTGTGGCAGTATATTTATCAGGATGACAATCTGAAAATGTCATATGTCCATACTAAAATGTCATCCTTATGGCATATTATGACATTCTCGCATATCAAGCGGCATTCCTCATGGAGGTCTGCACAGAGTTACTGGAGGGCAGATATTAGTCACTTTCATGACATTTTCGAAAGAAAAGTGACATTTTCAGATTGTCATCCTGGTAAATATAATGCCACTGCACAAACGTGACATTTTTTTCTTCAAATAACCAATAATTTTGACATTCTCATATTATACAAGTGTCATTTTACTGAATAAATACAATTCAAATCTAAAAAATCCAAATTAATAAATGAAATTCAATTCCATAAAATCCAAAGAAGAAGAGACTAGAGGACCATAAATTTGAGGAGGGTTAGAAGAAAGAGGAGGAGGAGGAGGAGGAAGGAGGAAGGAGGAAGGAGGAAGGAGGAAGGAGGAAGGAGGAAGGAGGAAGGAGGAAAAAGGAAAGAGGAGGAGGAAGAGGAGGAGGAGGAGGAGGAGGAGGAGGAGGAGGAAGACTTACCAGGTCGCCGATGAGTGCAGGGCGACAGAACAGTGATGCGAGGCCATGATCGATGTTAGAGCAGCAGTCCATGGGAGGCAGAGATGTGCTGCGACGAATTGCAGAGCCGGCGACAGGAGTGATGCGATGAATTGCAGGGGCAGACTTGTACGCTTATTTGATTTAGTGGTAAAAGTGTAAACTTTAGTCCTATTTAGAGAATAATAAACTTAAAGTCCTATTGTGGAGTTTATACAATGTTTTAGTCTCATTTAGGACAATTTTTATTTAAGATTCTTACTAGTTACGATTGGAAATCAAAAGTACAAAAACAAGCCTCCTTCCTGTAATACAAATAATCAAACGTCGAAAAATAAGCATTATAGTTTTTACAATTCCAATGTATATATACAATATAATATACAACATGTTTATAAGTGAAAGCGCGAAAGGTTAGAAATGTACAAAATAAGCATTATATATTGATGATTCCAATGTATAATATACAATTGTCTAATAAGGCTGATAATAAAAATGTGGATAAAGTGAAAGTGCGAAAGATTAAAAATATTGATAAATAACACTAATGGTACCTCGACTAGCCCCATAAAAACGTCTAATATTTAGAAGTTTTCCAAAACCTGAACATGAAGTTTTTTTTAAAATGTTTTCACTTTTTATATAATATACCCGAACTTATAAATGTATCTTTTTTATCGAATCATACATGTATTTTTATGTTATTAGAATAAATATATCCTAGCTAGTATTTCAATACGCAAATATCATTATTAAGTAAAATATACTCCGTAATATATATTATTGTCTCATACATCGCACAGGTACAATACTAATAGGTGTATAGGCGGGAAGGCGGCTAGACGTAGTTCAACGGGTAGATAGATGTATCATCACATGTAAGTCTCGAGTTAAAATTCCGACAATTGTGATGAGTGATTGTTATGTAAAAATGCATATGGTATCTCCATGTACCAGAGCCAGAACCCCACTCACTATCTGTCAACTTGTTATTAAAGTCCAATTTACATCCTCACGGTTAATTGTTCCGACGGTGCTGTAGGGGTCTCTAAGATAGGGTGTCATCCGTTTTTCACTATATAGGAGGGAGTTGATATATTGAAGGCTGATGAATGGCTACAATAAATTCTTTTTCGGTACTTATCTGTTTCTGGTCTACTCCGTACAATATAGCAGGATGAAGTGTTGAACAAATTTAAATAATATATTAGAATGATCAAGAGCCATATTTATAAAACTGAAATTGGTTGAATAGACTGATTCTTCAGAAATTTATGAAATTTTAGTTGAAAGTGACTAGGTTAGTTGATTCTACTGATATTTTAGTTCAATTAGCCGCTTGTATTAATTAGCAAATCATTAGCCA